AGGTTGCCTAGGGACTTCCCTGTCCCCTCTCTGTAACTGTGGAAGCCTGTTTAATTACCGTCAAAGGCAGATAAAATTGGTCTCTCTCTTGAAGAGAGAGTCTTGAAAGAATTTGTTTTTGGGGCATTTTTTTTGGGAGGTGATGTGTGAGCAGGGAGGTTCTGTGTATGTTTATCTAAGGGTAAGGTTGTCCAGTGGCTTGTGGACAATGATATGACTGCCAGGACTGTAGACAGTCAGAAATGTCTCTCTGTTACCATTTTCAAACTTCACTATTTCATAGTCGCCCAGGAGATGCACAGTTCAAAATGTCAGTGTGAAAACATCCTCTTAGACCCTGTAAGACAATAAATAAATATCACGACAAATTCCTCCATTCATCCAGTTTTGTAAACATATCTGAGTCCAGGTCACACTGAAAGCCGTTGGTCCGTCTCCTTGAGGAGAATCCCAAGAATGGTATATGTACTCTGCCTAGTATTTTGCCCTGGGGTCTCCTCTAAGTTGTATGTGCCTGGAAAACCTCTAAAGGGAGACATCCAGGAGGCATCCTCAAGGCACCAGTATACTCCATCAGAAGTGCTTCTTTGAACAGCTTCAAACACCCTTTCTCCCCACACCCTTCCAATGCTGGAATTTTGGGGAATTGCAAACTAACAGTTTCTGTAATTTTCCAAAACAGACTATGCAACATTCACACCCACTTCATGCAGTATTAGCCAGGTGTTTGGAGGTGATACATTTGGCAGGATTTGAATCTCTATTTTCAATTATTTTACACAACTACTTCTGCCATTTTTCATGTAAACAACCTACAAGTACATGAAAGTCTTGAAGAAGAGATGGTCTAGACGTGAAGTAGCTCCACTTTGATGTCTAAGTCCAACTACTCTTTCAGTCATTACCCAAATCTCATGACCATATGTGATACTGATGAGGTTTTATGAATGCTAAAGTTTTTTGGGTTTTTTATATATATACCACAATCCTGTTTTGAGTCCTTTAACATTGGTTATCTGAGTCATATCCGATACACATTGAAATAACAGCTGGAGACCACTAAATTTGGCACACCTTATTCTATACAAGCTACTTGATACAAATACTGAAGCTCCTGGTTCAAAAGAATGAAAGATTAACTGGGAGAATGCGACTCTTGAAACTGACATGATATGATCCACTAGAGAGAAGACATATCACTCCATTGGAAGTCTTGAGATTACGGAAAATTTTCAGTTCACTTGTGTGGTGTTACAGAGTGGGGCTTTTTCCCTCACGCAAGATCTTTGGCCGAGCAGACACTGGGTTGCAGAGAGAGAGAGAGAGCACTTTAACCAGATAAGTTTAAATTAGGCCTGTTACTCATGGAATGAACCTTATTTAACAACAGCTAATACCTGCCTGCGGAAGATTCTGTTACCACCATCTAAATGCTGCACTGTGGAGCCAGCTGTTGTAAAGGAGAACCGCACTGCTAAACTAGTATGTGGGCAAAACAGTAAAGACAGGTTCAGATTTTGACTGGCTTTATTTTAGCCAATACGATTCCTTAAAGTATCCCAGGATCACTCTGGTACCGTTACTTAAGATCAGCTCGGGAAATTTCTAGTTCTATAGTGACAGTTTAGTTCATAGTACTTTAATTTAATCGCTCAAATAATTGATCCAGCGTACTGTAACGTAGCTAGGTTGCGTGTGTGAAAGCTTGTAGGATACATTTAATATGACTTCATCCTAGCTTCCACCTTGTCAGAAACTGTAGGCCATTGCCACGTCAGCACGACCTGTCAGTGCCAGTACGTGCTTGAGTTAGTCACAAATGTAGAGGTCCCCACACATTGAAAGTTGTTTAAATGCAGAAAAATGTATGCGACAGCAAGACCCCACGCACTGAGGCCTCAACAGCCAGTCTTCAGAGGAAATTGAGGAAGTGCTTATAGTGTTGGACAGGCTCAACGGGAACCTGCCAAAGTCTCCTGTCAAGGTTTGAGAATCACAGTGTTACAATCTCATTAAATGAACAAAGCCTTTCAGTCAGAGCTCCAAAGAGAGCAGAGAGCAGCCTTGTGTTTTTACTTCTATATACCCTACTCAGTACATATATTGCTTTTTCCAAAAGAGGAAAGCAGGGTAAGAAGATGTATGAATAAAATGTAGTTTATATAAAATGTTTCACAACCTTTCATTATTTGCTGATTGTGCATGAGTAATAATTCTTATTTAGGAAATTAACCTATCTGCAGCCATCCTTAGTACTCTTTTTGGCATAATCTTGACCTACTTTATGGAAATTGGTTTACAAATCCTCTACTCCCCCTTGTATCCTACCCTCTGCCAAGCAAGTAGTCATTTGCACAGTGTTGTATGGCACTATTACCAGTGATTAAGGAGAAGTGAAGGAGGACATGCTAACTGACAGATGTAACCAGAAGTATGAAATATATTTTACAGTGAATAAGCAGTCCAGACATTCCAACTGCAGCAGGACATATGTAAACAAACCTACAAATGTTAAACTGTCTGCTGCCTTAATGGAGTCATGCCTGTAGCCACTCCCCATTAATCTAAAGCAAGGGGTCTCAAATGTAGATTGATGGGGTACTGTATGAGGATTAGTTTGCGCTGTGCTGTGCTGAGGGATGATTCATGGATATTTCCACATTAGTGGATGGTTGTAGTTGAGGGCAGGCAGCTGGAGGTGTGAGGAAGCAGAAGGCAGCGCAGTGTCCCTGCCACTGTGTTTGGCTACCAGTGCCATTTTTTTTCACATTCATTTATCCAAAGAGAGTAAAGTGCGGCTACATGTTCTCGTTAAGCCCCACCTTGCTTCACACTCACTCGATTACACACATTCACACTCGGATGGTGTCAAGCATAAAAACCTTTTTTTTTTATTTTTACCGACCAGCTCCACTGGAGCAGTTGACAAGGTCAGGAGCCTTGCTAAAGGGCACATTGATGGTGGTTTTTGAATACTTGGAGAAACTTACCTTCTAGAAATAAACCCAAAAACCATTCTCCACTTGTGAATAGATTGTTAAGATCCAATTGTCTCTAACAACAGGGTTAGTTGTGAGCTACCAGCTGCAACAATTGCCTCAGCATTTCAAATGACAACCTTTGAGCCCCTTACTCTCCATCCCAGCTTCATTAGTGCGGCTGCCTTTGTTTGTATATCATTGTGGCAGCGGTCAAATATTGTGATTGTGGAATAATGAGTCCACATTGTTGTGGCCTCAGCTGTCAGCGTTTTCATCAAGACTCAGCTTCAAACTGTCAGCTCACCAGAGACCAAACTAGATGTTCAGTTTTTTTTTGCTGCACTGCATATCGCCCTCTTGAAACCATTTCTCAAACTACTTATCTATTCATTAATGTTGATACGAAAAGTGAGAGAGTTTCACTTTTCACAGCGCAAAAATAGTTTCTTAGAACAAAATGAAGGAAATTAATTTGTAAGGAATATTACATGTATCCTTACCATTATTGTAAATCCTTCATGATGTTCCACTAGCATACTCAAAATGCATTTTAGGGACTTTACTGTTGTGCATGGATTTTGTAATGTCTTTGTGCACAAAACACTTGGCAGCCATTGCATAAATGTATTAACACACTCCAAGGTGTCCCAATTTTGTAAGTTATCGCTTACATATTTCATGCCCCAGTATTTTATGCCCCACATATTGACCATTAGATTAGACTTGCTAGAGCTGCACTGGCAGCTTAACTATTTATTAACAAGATTTACCCTCAGGTGTCATCAGCCGATGTTAGACTAGCCAATTAGATGCAATACTTCTTGACACTGTTGACTGCAGTGAACATTTTATAGTACTAATCTTTTTCTTGTACAAATACTACCTGTTATTCATGAGGAAATGATTACACTGCATATAATTACACAGAAGTAGTTACTCTCCCTGAAAGACTTGCAGTAATATGGTGTCAGACACAATCTGTTTTACATAACAAAAAGAGCCTTTGTGTCTCTTTGTATTTTGAGTGCATGTTTGTGAGTTGTATTGACAATTTGAAGTCTGACAGGCTACCTTAATGATAGAAGATAGACAGGTGAAGACGACATTTACCTTTTATCTGGTCGCGTTTTAAACTCTGCATTCTCTCACTCTGTCGTGCACAAGATGTTCTCTCGGAAAAAGGCTCTTATATAATGAGTCCTATCCAAATATCCAAGGAAACGTTTGCTTCAAAAGTAGGCCAGTAAAATAATTACTCAGACGAATAAAGAGGGAAAAGAAATAAGAGAGGAGACGATGGAGAGGAAGGGATAACTTAAGAGCAGTGTCTGATAGGTTTGTTTAATATACATCCTGAATTATAAATAGATCTGAGTCTCACACATTCTCTGCCCATTACCTAGACTGGAACTGAATTCATTTAGCTCAAAAATTTCCCTCCTTTTTGTACGCCTCTCCTTTCACTGAACTCCCGGCTTAATAGCACAGTACTACTGATTTTAACACAACAAACAAATGAACACATTGTAAAGATCTTGTAAAAACCAATAGTCTCATGCATCATGGACCAGTGAATGTGACAAGATGTGGCCGGCGCTCGGCTCAGCAGAAAAGGTTGGGTTTGCCTCGTGCATCGGGGAGGCTTCCACCAGAACACTACTCATCGTGTCAGTAACCATGGTGATATGAAGTCGAGCTGTACAGAGCATTGATCATTCTCTGCGCTGTCATCATTATCATCCAAATAATCCCCCTTCCCTTAGGCGACACTCGCCTGTAGTACCCTTCACACTCTCAATCTGACAGTTTTCATCAACAGTCATATATATTTCTCTGTCTGACTCATTTTAGTCCAGGTAAGATGTTATTATCAATAATAATCAAGCATTGATTTTTCTGATCCAAGTCAGTATTGTTTTGTCTTTTTATGCGGACGTCTGTAACCACCACATATTTTATCACAAGGACACAGAGCCATCTTTCACACTGTGACAGTGAGTTCCCTTGTTTTCCCCCCAGACACTCCATTCAGGCAAGGTCAGGAGCAAGACCTGAAGTCAGCCTTGAAGGGGACAGATCCCTCCATCCCACTGGTATTTGTCAGCGGGAACCATGATCTGGGCAACACTCCCACCCCCAGGACAGTGGAGCAGTATTGCAGCGCTTGGGGGAATGACTATTTCAGTTTCTGGGTGAGCAGACACCTACATTTTCGTGGTAGAAGTAGTAGTAATTGCTGTAGTATTGGCATAGCAAGTAGTAGTGGCTGTAGTGAAGACGGCTTATTATGACCATGGGCCCTGGGCACCAAATGCTGCTTGCCTTGCGCAGAGGGTATGTGCAAAGCAAGTGACCAAGTGACCTACACACACCAGGCATTATGTTGCAGTTATGCTGATTATTTTGATATGTGTGTTTGGTATTTTGGTTAGGTTTTTCCAGCTGCACAACTTAAAGGAATTACTATGGGAAAAATAATAAATGTAGGAAATATATACATACATTATGGTATAAAAATAATGATTTTTTTAAATTGTTGTTATTAAATGAATGATGTGTAGATAACTAACATCTAGCACATCACTCTGTCTCCTGTTTCTACTGTTGTCTCAGGTGGGTGGAGTCTTCTGCCTGGTTCTGAACTCCCAATTGTTCTATGATGCCTCGGCCTGCCCTCAGCTGAAGGAGGCCCAGGAGACGTGGCTGGAGGAGCAGCTGAGCAGAGCCTCCTCCTCAACGGTAGAATAGCATCTATGACATGATTCTATTTTTATCTGATTTATGAACACGTTTCAGCAAGATAATGTCTTCCTTTGCTGTGTGTGGAAGTTTGGACAATTGCTGCCGTCTGCAGCCATTTGACACATAAATTGAGTTTTTTCATTGGAGGTTGGTGGTCATGAACCCATCGCTCATATATATCTCTGTTCAGGAAACCAAACCCAAACACGTCCTGGTGTTCCAGCACATTCCTCTGTACCTAAAGACCCCCGATGAGGAGGATGACTACTTCAACCTGCAAAGGGGAGTCAGACAAAACCTGCTGGACAGGTTCAAGAAGGCAGGTAAGAGAACAGGGAGGCACACATTATGCACTTTTACCTCTATTTACTGTTTGTATGCAGACCAACTTAAAGTGACTGGCCTGGTTTGTGTCCAGTGTTTTGTTCAAGGGCACTTTAACATGACGTACAGTACGTGTTGTCTCTTCTAACTACTAGGTCTTGTCAATCCAGATTTGTGTATGTATGTTTGTATGAGTTTTAACTTTGAGTTAAAAGTCACAAAAGAGATAAACTTTTATTGTTAAACAGCTTCCTGTTGTAAAAAAAACCCCTAAAATATCATTAGTATGTTCTGTAATGATGGATTTAGGCCACTTGTGAAATGGTCTTAATACTTCTTAGCCAATATTCCTATTAAACCTGTTCATTTCTAGCATATCTAACTTAAGCACAGTTAAGATCCCAACCCAGAGGATTAATATGCCATTAGCCAGAACCACAGGAGCAGCTCCTTGCACACACAGCCACACACACACACACACACGATGAAGGCGTAATTGAATCAATTAATTAATTCAGTCCCTATAAGAAGAATAATTCCATAATCAAAATCCATTGTTGTCGGCTTATAAGAGTCTGATACAAGGGTATCAGGCAGGGAAATTCTAACAAGGACAATACGTCTTAAAGAAAGCAGTGACTCAACACACACACACACACACACACACACACACACTATCTGGCCATTTCTGCACAACTGATTGACAGGACTGCTCATACGGACTTGTGCTGTGCTTCTCAATCATGCATCAAGGTGACTGGCGGGGGATGGTATTAATTTCATTATCCAACCATTATACCAGCATGTATTTAACCATGTTGGCCTGTTTTGGTCTGATGACCCTTCTCTCTCATAATTGATTGCTCCTCTAAGGGAACACTGGTTAAAGATTTAAAGGGCAATCCATACAGGCTTTTTATATGCAGGAAAGGAGGGTATTACTGTATGTGCAGAACATGTAATGCACAAGTGTCCTTTCTCATCTACACTCTTGTTCACACATGTCCTGCCGGCAATTATAAATTCAGACTACATACTGGGCATGTTCTCTGTGAACTATATACATACATGTACTGTGCATAGTACACGTAAGTACAATATATGGAACACTTCCGATTACAGAAGGGAAAGGATGTGATTTTATGCTGCCTGTGATTTATCTACAAGCTGTCATATTTTACTCATCACATTCATGCACCCTCTCTGTCCAGTCCTGTTCCATACATAACAATGGGCCCGGGCAAAATGTCAAGCTCTGTCTCAAGAATTTATCTAGAAATGTCTCTATTTATACTGCGCAGATGGAGAATTCCAATGTTACTGTGAAGTTAACCTTCATTTTGTCATGTTTAGAAAGATTCATAGCCATTCAGATCATAGGAAATCTATAAAGAGTGAGGAAAAGCCTGAAGTTTAAAATTACAACTGAAAGATGAGTATGAATTATGTGGGTATTTTAACATCTAAGTCTAGAATTGCTATATTCTAATAAAACATTTTAATGTTAATTGTCTACGCTAATGCATTATCAGCTTCATCATAAATATTAACAAAAGGGTTATATATTTTTACATAATGTACCCATGTTGCATTAAAAAAAAATAAGCAGATACCTTATTACCAGTACCAGAAGTTATTTGTGTATAAAACTTCATGAAACACAGATTTGTATGTGAGCCACAAAATGAAGGCACTGTAGGAACATGCATGAAGTTTCCTGCAGGGCAAGGTATCGCCTGGTTAAAAATATCCCAATGGACAGACTCCAGTCTTTTTAGAGGAGAAAATAATGGAAACAAGCGAGAAATTGCAGAAAACTGTTATTTACTGCATATTGAAGAACAAAAGAGCGCCAGGGAAAGTGTGCTGTTTGTCTTCCTGTCTGTGCGGGCTGTGTTCTCTCTCATCCGTGGTAAATTATGTCTCTTCTGGACATTGGCTGGATTGGCTATGGTAATTTTTTTCCCCTCTTTAAATTGCGTTATTCACGCATCATCTCCGTCCCATGTTGGTCTGTCCTCACCGCTCCACCCTGTGATCCAGATGTGCTCTTGTACTCTGGAGATCATTACTGTCATTACAGTAAAGGGCAGCATCATTAACCTCTCTCTCACACACACACACACACACACACACACACACGTCCATTCAGGAACAGTTGAGCATTGGCACAGATTAAGCAGTTTTTCCGCACTGAGATTTACATTACAGTAAGCACTCTTATCTATGTTTGTGCAGCGAGTTTACAGTTGAAGGATTGCATGTTTTATTGTGTAAAAAGAAGATCCCTTAATGAAACCCTGGAAAGCTCTTTATGACATCCTAAGAGTGTTTCTTGACGTTATTCAAACACTCTTAAAGGATATTCTTCTCAAAGTTTTAAAGTTCTTATTGGCTCTTTTTTTTAGCAAAGAGGAACAGCAGTTTGGCAAGAACAAAGAGGTAAAATTGGATGGCTTTCCTCGTTCTTTGTTTAGTAATGGTAATTTTTTAAGAAAGTGTATGGAATCACTAGATGTTATACAAATGTGTCTTTGGCATCCAATCAATCCTCGTAAGTAAGCGCACACTGCTAAGGTGTCTTTTTGTGGTGTCAGTTGACTTACAGCAGCTGGGGATTTGGCTCAGCATTTGAGAGGTTGTAACTACTGCTGTTGGGTGTCTGCAGCAGTTTTCTATGCATGATATATTCTGCAGTAAGTATCTATATGTTATCTCAGCAGCACAGCCGTGCATGGGGAAAGGTGTGACACCAATTAGTCTTCCCGTGGCTCATCAGAGCGAGTGGTTCCACCCTGGGAACTGTTGACTGCGATCCAACTCATATTAATGATACACCGTCTCTGTGTGATGACCCCCTCTCGGGCAAGTAAAGTATCGTGCAATCCCTTTTTAATTGCACAAGCAATTACTATGATGTCTGATTTGACAGTGATTTGGTTGATATTAAATCTTGCCTTTAATTGTGCGCTTGCATCATGTGTTTAATATCTTTTGAGATTATACCAAGCCCCTGATTAGAAAAGGACATGTTTCGAATGCACAAATAAGTCTGATTTATGGGTTGCTTTGCTGTTATGACAACCCCGTAAACAAAACAGGACAACTTGTTTTCACTTCATTTGTGGTATACTACTTGGTAGATGACTGTTCAGTCAGTACAGTCAGTTTATTGGTAAGCCCTAAAAACCCTGGAGGAACTTCTTTACTCTTTTTATGGTTGCTTCTGTGCTGCCTCATCACTGTCATACCCGTAATCATAGTAAATATGCTCTCCATAGTTCTCCAGTTTTTCAGTGCATAAATGCAACTCAGCCAGCATTAGCAAAAATTGTAGGTTGCTTGCTTGTTGAGGATGTTGAATTTTGCAGGTTTTTCCGCACATCCAAATTCTTTTAAGACAAAATTTTACTCCCGTCACTGGGAACCAGTGTCTTCTTTCCGAGAGGCGAGTGAAACTGCAGAAATCCCAGTAGTGCTCTCAGCCTCTCCTCTCCTCATAGATGGTAGTACAGTAATTAGATTCCTTCGCCCTTCTCCTCCTCCTCCTCCTCCTCCTCCTCCTCCTCCAAGGTTTTTATCCTACATTCAGGATACCGTCAGCACACATACCGTACAAACAAGGACGAACGAACGTGTGCACAGATACACACTTCCATGCTGTCTCCAAATCCTGTTATGTTTGGGGAAAAACAAAAACAAGAGTGCAGCTGAGAAATTCATTGGAATTCCCAACATTGCTAGTGGCTGTAGAGTTGTACATACAGTAGCTAATTAGAGGCGAAGATAAGCCGTGTGCTGCTCTGCATAGTCTCTCCGTCTGTCCTTCTCCGTCTCTCACACTTTCTCTCTTTCTTGCCGCTGGTTGTCTTTATCAGCAAGGGTCCTACTCTGTTCAAAAGCGAAGGCACATTTATCACCCACTGGGGATTCGATAAGAGGCCACGGTTAAGCCTTTAACCCCATTGTTTTAATGATGAGACTGAATAATGCTTTTGCTTTTTCTGTATCTCATTCTCTAATTCTCTCTTTTTCTTTGTCTCAGTCCCTCTTTCTAACGCAACCAAAGGTGGGGCTTGGTGGGGATGTTTTACTGGGCATTCAGACTCAAAACTGGGGCTGCGTTCATGGGGGCGTTTTGTTCAGGAACCGAGATGATGCGATCCAGGAAGGCCAGTTTTAGTAATGGATTCATGAGTTTAAAGGCTTATCAGATGCTGAAACAGTATCCAAGGGTTTACAATACTATGAAGATGGATTTTAGACCTTTGGTAAATAATATAGATACCCCGTTAAAAGGCAAAAGTTTCAACCAGCTTTGTATTATGACAATGTGGATAGTGTATGCAAATGAAGAATGTTTAATTTCCCTCCATGTTGCCTGCACCCAGAGCTTTTTAGCCTATTTTGCCTCTCTCGATCTGAACCAAAACATTAAAGCTGCAGGCTGTAAAACCAAAACAATGATTTTCTTGGCACAGTCGGGTGATGATTCTCAATGGGTTTGTCACTATGAGCAACCCTTTTAACATTACACAAAGGAATTTATTCTATGTTAATATAAAAATATTGATTGATGCAGCAAAGATTACATTCAGTATTATGTTTTGAGAGCAGAGATAAACCTTAAACCTTCTTCTTCATCTGTCTGTCCAATAATGTGAGTAAAACTTGGTTATGCAGGTCTTGATTTGATTATCGTGAAGCATCAGCACTAGTATGCACGTATGAATATTCTATTCCATTTCTGCCAATAGATCCTCCAAAATGTTACACACTGTACCTTAAATTACACTGAGTAAATTGTTTTAATATTAGAATATTGCAGTCTATTTAAATATAGTCATTATTAAATTGTAGTTTCACTTCTGAGCTGATGCAAGTTCTCTGACTCATTCAAAAATGTTCTGCCATCGTTTGCAGTTCTGTCGTTAGTTACCCACAGCTACATCACATCTCACCTCCGCTCGCCTCACACTTCCTCCCCTACTGCGTACCA